GATTTTGGTTGTGTTGTGGGTTGTATTTGTGTGTTTTGAGCACCAAAGCTTAGGGCCCAGACAAGCGATTCTTGTCGGAATCTTAAATAGAAGACATGAAAAATTTAGCTTTATAGTGGAGTTTGGGTTGAATAATGTTTAGGGTTAAGATTCCGATGCGAAGCCGCTGGCGAGGCGATTACTTGTGGTTTATCCCTCGCTAGGGTCACATCCATTCGCAACATCCTACTACACATCCTGCCTTCGTGACATCATGAAAAGAATGGTTAATTCGTTTAATTCACTTGATTCATTTGTTAATTTAATGTAAATGCTGGATCAACGAGTAGAATTCATGATAAGCGGCTCATTTAATTTGATTAACCATCTAATTCATGAGCCGCGAATTTAATTCATTCGAATGATCATTTAATATAAATAGCCATCTAATTCGTGTAATTCGTTTCATTCGTTTATTTTTTTGAATTCATGCTTTAATGTAAGGAGTTTGATTCGCCGAAAGCATTGAATTCATTCACTCAAACAAACAAAGCTCATTCAATCATCTAAGCCATTGTAATTGAATTTAGTCAATAAGTTTAAACAAATTGAATGAACTTAGATGAATTAATTCATTTTAACGCATTTAATTCAATGTAATAGGATTGCGTCGTTTGAACTGCACAGAAGTGAGTATTATGACCATCCTCGCAGGACATCTTTGAGATGGGCCTCGCCGGAGATCTCGGCTTTGCCTAGCTTCAGCGGCTGTTTCGGCAATGCCTCCTTCATCGGCTTAGGCTGCAGTAGCGCCAAGCCCGACCGAATTGCTTTGGGCTCAGTACGGCTGCTTGCACATCAGGATCCCAACCCGCACAGTGCTGGTTTGCTCGAACTCCCAGCTGCAGAGGAATATTGATCTCCTGAAGCTGTTCGATCTACAATCTGTTGCATGCTCGTGAGATGCCTTTGTCCCTGCTCTTCAAACCCAAGCCCCAGGCTTAAACTCCAAACATCCCTGAGCTTGAACCCATACGGGATGTCCCAGATCCAGAAGTGCGCTCGTGGACTCCAAAGGGGTTGCCACATGGGTCCTTTCATTCCGAGGAGGTCTATTTCAGAGCCAAGAGCTTCTCAGAGCCCCCAAAGGCAACCACAACCACGCTCTTCTGCCCTACCGTAAGCTTAGAAGATGTTACGAGTATGTTTGGCGAATGCATATAACATTGGCGTATAGAGTGGCTACAAGGATGCGAAGCTCATGGTCCAATTAGGGGCCCACGCTTTCAGGCTTGTAAAGTGGGGCCTGTTTGTAGAGCGCCGCTTCGGCGGTAGTCGGGCTTGACGACCCTGTGGCAGCACATGCTTCAACATAACTCATGCGTGGGTACCTGTGCAAACACACCAAGACCATCGTTCTTCATGCAGTCACTGCAACAGAGTTTGCGATGTTGGCGTCCCTATACAAATTGCCTTTTGATTCTCAGGAGCATAAAGATTTTGATCGCTGGCTCCTTGCTGATTCAGAGGTTCCTCTAGCGGGCTCTGCATGACCGCATGGGTACGAGCCACTCCAATCCAGATAGGCTATCTGCCACCAGGGGACCATAGCCGACGTTTAATCCACCCCGAAGTCCGGAGGCTTCATGGGTGCACCCGTTCTTCAGCATGCGACCCCCAAAATTGTGCTTAGCATGCACCGGTTCGGCACCAGGTTTCCAGCGCTGGTCTGTCTGGGCAACGGTTCTTGCCCTCCTTGGGCTCTGTTTACCCCAGTTGCCACCAGCAGACGCGGTGTTGCACCTGTCGTTTCACACTGAGCTTTCTTCTGACCGGAAGCCGGAAAAAGCGGACGGTGCCAGGGAAGGCCGCAGTCACACGGGCCGGCTTCTCGATTCGAAGGTGAAAGCAACCTGCACGACATAACCATCGTCAAGTTCGGCTGTGTGTACAGCTTGTGGCTTATGAGTGACAGATCACAACCCTCACATCGCTTCAATTCCATTCATCTGCCACAATTTTTCCACAGCTTTTCCGTAAGCCTGGCGCGCGTGGAGGTGACCGAGGCGCGGAACGCCACCGATGCGGCGACGGACGCCATGCTGAATGCTCTGAGGCCAGGTCCGGAGTCCCAGAGGAGTCCCAGAAAACTCCCAGAAAAACTGTAAGGAAGTGACAGGAAAGGTGCCCTCCGATCCCAATCAAAAAACGCATCCCCGAGTCCGGCCGTGTCCAAACAACTCAGCTCTTGTAAACATGATGTTGTTGAAGAGCCGTTGACTGCTTGGCATCAGGCAAGGACTTGATGAGCTCGGCGAACGTTGTGGCAAGTGGCCGCCTGCGGGTATGACGCCGGAGGTAAGCATGCAGGGCGTAGAGGCAGTTTAGGGTTGGGCGAGTGTGAGATTAGGCGCATCTATAGGTTCCTTACTGCAGTACATTGTTCAGCATTGCGCATTGGCGTCCCTTCACGCACCCGAGCAAGAAAATTCTGTCTTTGCTAAAGCTGCTAAATTCTGAGTCAGAACCAGGGAGTTCCTAGGTAGGATCAGGGGGACCCTTAAAAGGGAACCCCTTCTTAACCCTCTTCTGGCTCTCTTAAACAGGGACCTTGTTCAGAGGGTCTATGTCCCCAAGGGGCCCTAATCCTATCCCCTACGAGTTCTACCAGAAATGAGCACAATGTCATCTTAGGCTGAGGTTTCGAGATGTCGAGTTGGGAACCATCGGCCCCACGTGCAACATCAAGCTTTTCGAGCCTAGACTTATGAAGCCCAGAACAGGAAAAGTGCACCTCCAGAGCGCAACGAGGACGATGAATAACATGCCTAAGGGAGGCCATCATGGGTAAACCCTCGGCTCCGGAACCTGAACGGGCTTATTGCCTTGAATACGGCAGAAATCGAAACTCGGAAGACAGTGGAAGACCGGTCAGTGGAGGTGCCCGAAAGCATGTCTTCGGCGCTGGCGCAGCTGCGCTCCGATGCGGAGGTCGCTCAGAATGGATATGTATATATGTATAAACTTATTATAGATCGCATGTCAACATGTCGGCTTGTCTATGTATGGAAGTGAAGCCTGAGTCAGAGCTTGAGTACTAGTTGGGTCGCGTTGGTTCATGTCCTTGAGGGCAAGTAAACCAGAGGGAAGAGACCTCTGATTTTTTTGAGTCGGGGTTCTTGAGTTTTCGTGTTGTGGGGTTGGGTGCTTTGTATGTATGTGTTGGAGTGGCAGGGAACGGTGCATACGTGATTCTTTGGCATGCATCTCTTCCCGAAATCAGCTCAAGCCTCTGCTCCAATTCTTCTCCCGCCCATCCCTCCCACAGACTGCTCGTGTGTCTTGACACACGAAGCGTGAATTCTTTTGACCATCTTTGCCAGGGTTCTCTCGAATTGTCAAGGCCGCGGCCGATAAGAGACCCAGGCTACATCGCGATGAGAGCGGGGAGTTCGCGATGCCCGTTCACGCAGCCGAGGGGTAGAAAGTTGTTCCCCTTCAGACTGCTCAGAACTATTCCCGACCAAAGCATGGAAGCCCCGCTGTGAAATCATGCGTTCTGCGAGGGATAGGGTTAGGGATGATCAAAGATTGCTACTTCTTACCTGCCCTAAATTCCATGGAACGAGCTTCAGCCAGAAGCCCCAGAACATTGGCCTCCCACCGCCAGTACCCACCAGTACCCACCAGTACCCAGTACCCACCCTTGCGCACCCTTCCCAGCATTGCCCACTACTTGCAAGGAAGTGTATCCAATCGCTTAAGGAACCTGCTAGGTGAATTTCCGTGCTACTACCTGGCATACACGTTGACTAGGACTTGGTTTTGGCCAATTGTTGCGTTCAAGGGGCTACTTGTTGTATTCGTTCAAAGGTCGGTGTTGAAGTCGGGGTGCTACACTGCTGGCACGAAGGTGGCCCCACGCGTGCAGATGTGGGTGCCAGATTTGGTAGCACACTCTCGTTTGTTGGCCGAAGCCAACGCTTGTTTTGGTTTCGGCATAAGCATCATCAGCCAGCTTGGCGCAGCTTGAGTTCACCTGGCTGAAACGTCCTTCGTACTGCCTGAGTAGAGGCCAAGTTCACGGACATCCACCGGCGTCTCGAGGCGCGAACGGTGTTGGGGCATCGTTGGAGGGCTGAGTCTGCCATTTTCAGAATGCTTAGAGGTTACCAAGGCGAGGATGTCAATATATACGTTAGCTTCCAGAATTGGGGAGGCTTTCTCTGTGTGTGTGTGTGTGTGTCCAAGTCACTTCGGCGATTTGGCGTATGGCGCAGGAGTGAGAAAGACATGCTGTTCATTCCTTGAAAAGAAGGGCTCCGGACGTTCTAGCCGGCCTGCCGACGCTCCAGGTAAAACGTGTTCCGAAGGCACTTGAATGTTTGATTTGCTTGGCACGTGCGGTGCGGAGCCAAACAGAGCCATCCAAGAGTCCAAGGCTGTCTTAGAATGCTTAGCATGAACAAGTACGCCTGACATTCTCAAGGTACTGTCGGCGGGGGACAAGGGATAGGGTTGAGGGTCTTTCTGGTGTTGGGCGGGGCCTCGAAGTTTTTGGAGTCGGCAGACTTGGACTTCGAGATTTAGCATCGGGAGGCCGATGCTGTTGTGGCCGGATAGTGACGCCATGTTACGCCTGCGACACATGCAAGATTCATGTTCACAGAGGCACTTCGCGGGTCGACCGCTGAGGCGCCTGGTCAGGCCCAATCCCGACCATTTAGGAAGCTGTTGTTCTACGCTCGCAGCCTCAGAAGTGCAAGAGTCCAAGCTTCCATGTAAACATATGTAAAACTCATGCAGACTGCGTTCACTGCGTTCACGTCGCACTCAACACACTTCTCACCAGCGTTGCCTTCGCGAAGGAGCTGTCTGCTGCTGTCAGGGTGCTGCAAAGTCAGCTCCAGGCGTTGCAAGCCGAGAAGGGTCAGGCAGGGCAACTATGTGGAGATGCCATGAATCAGTAACTTGGGATCTGTCCTCTGATATGTCCTGAGGTAGCAGCGGCAGTGACAGCCATGGGCCGGCAACAATCGGCCCTTGAGGCGATGCAGGAAGAGCTCCTGGCCGGATTCTTGCCCAGGTTTCAGTCGTTTTCTTGCTTTCAGCGCCATTATTTTCCCAAGCGTCTTGAGCAGCTGTACAACTGTTCGGAGTGATCCGGAGTAGAACTGGATCTCAATAAGAGTCCCTGCCTGGACAAATCGCGACCTCAACACTTTCATCTCAGGGGATCCTAAACACTCCAACTTGATGTCCTCAGGAATGGCACGGCGGCCGGATGAGGCTGTTGTGCGAGTCGCATGGTTTTCAGGGTGCTCCGAGGCTTCATGAAGCCGCACGGTCCCAAACCTCGCTCTGGTACAGTACCCACCCGTATCCACCCGTCCAAAGCGCAACTCCAAGAACTATGCAAGATTATGCACGCAAGTCCTTGCAACACTGAAGACATGTCGTCAAGGGGTGGACCAGAATTGGTGTCTGCAGTTTTCCACAGGTGCAACAGCTTCGCAGTTTGCAAACCATGTAAGTCCCATCGCGCTCCGAATACCCCACGAAATATTGCTGAAGCCTTCCTGTAAGCACGCTTAGTTAAGAGTACCTAGTGCCTGTCTAGACCTGAGACTCTTGCGAGTCGGCCTGAGACTCCATATCCGGAAGGTGGACTTTCGGACAACCGAAGAAGATTACAACTAATACCAGTTCCAATTTCACCCCGTGAAAGCCCGAAGTCTTGTTCCCAGCAGGCGCGTGTCTCTGCAGTGGAACACGGCATAACGTCGCTTCACACCAAGCAGAGCGAGATTTCCGCCACCCTGCAGGCGTGTGCGAGCCCAAAGGGCCTAGGGCGGGTGCAGGGCAGTTTCGGAAATCGTTGTTAGACATAGACCTAATTCCTAGTGACACGGTGGTGCTAAAATGGCAGGACAGGCTCGGCAATGAGGGTGTGGGACGATTGTTTGAAGTGGCTTGCACTCCTCGTCCCATCATCGCAGCTGAAGCTTGGGCGAATCTATTGTAAACTCTTAGGGGCGCGATCTTCAACCTATCACCACCAGTTCCTGGTTCAGGGCGGTGATGCGGTTGCTCGTAAGCCTGCACTCCCTTCATACTCGCTCAGCCCGATTTCCCAAGTGCGTTTTTGAGCTGCTGAACATCAACCTGTCAAGTTCAGTCTCGAGCAATTTGACAATCAAGCATATCAAGCTGAAAGTGGCAACTCGGTACCGATACTTCGAATCTCTTTGCTTACTTCCTCTGTAAAGATGCTGAAATGTTCATGGCAGAACTGACATGCGAGGAGGGAGATGGAGAGAGAGGAGAGCCATCGCGGATCTCCGCGGGGATCCTTAAGCGCACAGAAGAGAAGAAGGGAGAGACGAGGGCAGGGGAGAATGAGACAAGCGGTAGCGCTTTCACATGACTGTCGGAGGAACACGCTGTATGAACACAGACACCTCAGAAAGTAGGCTCTTCCTGCCAAAGCACCAATAAAATCACCATATCCTATAGTCCTGAAGCCGAACGCCGTCAACCAACAACAGCCCAAAACTCTCCGAGCCCTTTACGCTGAGACCTGCATGCCCTTGGTTTAAAGACACAATGTCTGGGATCTTGCAAAGCGTAGGGTTGAAATGACACATTGGTTTCGGGACCTTGCTGTTGAGTCTTGGTGAGCTTGGAATCAGTGTTGCCCATGTTTGCCCCACTCGACTTGCACAGGGCATGATGAGTCTGAACGCGGCCGCGACCTCAAAACCGCAGGACCAAAGGGAGCTATGGAGATGTTCTGTTGCCGCAGAGGGATGCTAGAGGCAAACATTTGCAGAACGTTGTCGATTGCATGCCTTGACCGCGGCAAGCCCGAGCAGCCTTAACCTCCCAAATCGAGTGACATCGCCTACCAGTGGCTCACTGACGGCAGTGGCAGGCTGGTGATCATGTGGCCGAGAGCTTAGAAGTTGCAGGGGGAATTGCAGAGGGCCTGGGGCTTCAGGGCAGACACTTCGACGTAAGGTATGGCATCGCCCATGAGTGTGTGGCCACATGATTGATCCTTGCACTTTAGAATCTTTACTACGAGTGAAATCTTCACAATTCTTTGAAGACAACAAGCAGCTGCGCGCATGTGCCGCAGAGGTCAGGGTACCGGTCCAGCAGGTCAGACCTCGAGCCGCATGATCCACATCTTGCACGATCTTGGACGAATGTAGTCTGTCGATTTAAGTGGCACTGTTGTGTTAACCCTCATGCCAGTTACGGGCATGTCATGCAATCTGCCTTGCCAGCCGGGTATGTTCGTTTGAGCGACAGCAGGATTTACGGTATGGGGTTTGCACACGTCCTGTTACTGTTAGTGCCGTGAAGCAGCCCGTTAGCTGCGTGCAGGCATCCAAAATAGCACGCGAAATAGACTGACTCCCCCCCCATATGATAACCTGACCGGACCGCCCTGACGGAACCACAGCCCGGCAGACGTTGCCGTCTGTTTTCAGCTGCTGAGGGATCAATGGACAAGGTGGCCAGAGCCTCGACTGGGGGCTAATGCGAACATGTCATAGAAGCTCCGAAGGTCTGAGTCCAATTGGGAGGGGTGTAGAAATGTATGCAAGGAGCTGCAAGAGCCTGCGTCATGATTGTGAGCGAGGAAGTGTGATGCTTCAAAATCAATGAAGTCGTGCCTGCAACCCTGAGGCTGTGGCAGCCATGCTGCAGCCGCTTCAGCAGAGGATAGCTCAGCAGGCGCATCCAATCCCACAAGCTCTGTTGGCACTTTGGCTGATTTTGACTCTGTGAACTGTGCTTGACACAAGGGCCCCACCCCTCTGCTCCTAGAGTTCCGGCGAGGAGTCAGATCTGAAGGAGATGGATGCGAAGCTTGTGGAGCTTCGCCAGCTACGGGTCCCGGATGAGGCCATGAGAGATCACATCTACACTGAACCTACACGGCATGACAGAACATGCTAAACACGGCTCACACATGAGGCTAAGAGACTTCAGATGTGTATTGTGGGCTCTTTCAGGCCCTGAAGAGCGAGCTGGCGACGGTTGCAGACGCTATGACGACGCCAGCTGCTCAAAAAGTGACCTCTCTAGATCTAACGTTTGATATGCATCTACCGGTACTGTCTGACATGCAAGGAGTTCAAGACACTTCAAGCCTCGGCTTTCAATCTCCAGCTCTGCTGTGCTATGTCGTAACCCCCAGACAATGCTTTTTCTGTGCTGGCAATACTGAATACTGCAGTGACTGAGGCTGTGTGCCAAGATCGAGGACATGGACAATTTGAAGGCCGCAAATGAACGGCTCAGCTCTGAGCTAGGCATGGATCTCAGATTTCGCTGTGAGAGCCACGGGCACCAGACGTGTGCTTCATAGCACCTGCTACTTGCCGATTGGATTGAGGGAGTTTCCGAGCCATCAGCTTTGTGTGTGCCAACCTAGTTCATTGTCCGCAGAGAAGCAATGCGTCCGCTTGATCTTATCGTCCCAGCGAGGAGCACTCCACGATGTTACCAGTTAGGTTGGACACGCAGAGGCCGCAGAGGGGGCTGCCATAAGAAGCTGATCCAGGAATGTAACAGGGACTCCCCCCCCCAGTGTGTGCCGCGTTGGAATAGCTAAGCATCCGGAATGGGGGTGCAAGTAGTAGTATTCCTGATAGCTCTCGCGCACAAAGCTCACAGAACCCTTTAACGACGCTGAAGTTTCCCAAGGCACCGTGGCGAAAGCTGTCGCCAACCTCGCCGACCATGTCGACCGACTGGAGGCGTGAGCTAGTATTAGGCTCCCCAAGCGTACTACGGTGAGAAATCTCTCCCATGAAGAGAGAGAAACACCATTCCACCAAAGGTAAGTCCAGCGGGTTCATAGCTATGTGATGTTATGACAGCTGTTGCCGCGAGAAGCCTTTTATGTAGTCCCGTCGCGCCTGGATTGAGGCAATACTTCCAGGAAGCTGTTGGCCTTTGTGCTCAATAGTCAATATCGCGGAGTCTCTTGCACTCAGCTGGGAAATCAGCAGACTTCGTAACGCTCTCTGAATCCTTCGCCATTACGTGTCCTCTTGTGTCCCAACACCAGAAAGCAGACAAAGGAGGCACAGCCTTCAAAACACCCCGGCAGGGCTGTGCGGAACCATCGAATCCCCAGGGGAAGACGCCCACGAACAGCGTCGCCTCTGCGGGCGAGGCGAGATAGCCTGAGGAGTTTCTGGTTTGGGGTGCTTTAGAGAACCAGTTTGTGGATGCAGCGTGCCTGTGTGCCTGTGGCATCTCCAGTTTGCATACCGTCTTTCTCACCGTGTCCTGCCAGCTCTTCTGTCACATTACAACTTTTTGGCTGGAGAGTCGGAGATAGATAGACGCGCACACGCACACGCGTACACACACACATATCTACAGCGATATACATCTACACATACATAATATACGCATGTTTATCTAAACATACTCCCCTCCCGCCAAGACCTAGAATCTAGATCTACCTGCAGAGTCGCTTCGGCGGTAGATCTGGGATCGAGTCAGTTTTGGAAGTCTAGAAATCAGTTCGTGGAAGGAAGACGAGGTATAGATAATGTGTAGCGAAAGAGCTTCTAAAGTGTGATGAAATGGTGTAGCAACGATCAGCTAAGAAGACTGCTGATCCCCGAAACGAATCAACTTATACATTCTTCCTGCGCAGCCACAAAGTCAAGAAACACTTGAAATATTCTCGTGCGTAAATCCGTGACATGTGAAAAATATTTAGTAAACACACACACACACACTCACACACACTCACACACACACACACACACACACACACACACACACACACACACACACACACACACACACACACACACACACACACACACACACACACACACACACACACACACACACACACACACACACACACACACACACACACACACACACACACACACACACACACACACACACACACACACACACACACACACACAACACACACACACACACACACACACACACACACACACACACACACACACACACACACACCACACACACACACACACACACACACACACACACACACACACACACACACACACACACACACACCCACACACACACACACACCACACACACACACCACACACACACACACACACACACACACACACACACACACACACACACACACACACACACACACAACACACACACACACACACACACACACACACACACACACACACACACACACAACACACACACACACACACACACACACACACACACACACACACACACACACACACACACACACACACACACACACAACACACACACACACACACACACACACACACACACACACACACACACACACACACACACACACAACACACACACACACACACACACACACACACACAACCACACACAACACACACACACACACACCACACACACACACACACACACACACACACACACACACACACACACACACACACACACACACACACACACACACACACACACACACACACATATATATTTGTACGTACAACTCTCCTTTGTTTCGCATGCCCTCAGTCCTTCATTCGTAAACACACACACACACACACACACACACACACATATTTGTACGTACAACTCTCCTTTGTTTCGCATGCCCTCAGTCCTTCATTCGTAAATACCATCCGCAGACCCATTCCGGAGCGAAGCCTGGACGTCCAAGAATCCGTTCGAGTCAGGGTGATCCTTCTTGATTAAGCCAGGTGGCTTCTGCACCCACCCCGCGGGACCCTCGGCGCGACCATCGCAAAGCACCGAGCCCAAGAAGGTGGCTGCAGGAGCTCTGCAGCTTTGTGGCGAACACTCCTAGTATGTTCGGGAATCCCAAGTTTGCAGTTCATGCTTGGAGCAAAAGCAGTGTGGACTTACAGAGCCCTCCTTTTTTCGAAAGCAAGAAGGGCAAGGCTGACGTTTTGTCGCTAGCACAAGCCTTCCCAACAAGAGGAGCCCCTGTCCGTGTCCGTGGGCCGCTGCTCTGATGTCCCAGGCCACAGACCTGCCTGGGCAAAGGTTGTTAGATAGGCTGCTGCTGCTTTTGCTGCTGGAGGTTGCTGCTTGCTGTTGCTCTTGTTGGTCTTGCTTCTGCTGCTTGGTTGATATTGTTGCGAACTTTTCTGTTTTTGCTGCTGTGGTGGCTGCTGTGGTTTGTGGTTGTGGTGGTTGTTGTTGGCGCTGGTGCTGGTGTTGGTGGGGGTGGTTGCGGTGCCGAAAACGGGGACAGTGGCAGTGCTTGGTTGCATGCGAGACCCCTGCCGATGCAGGCATCTTGCAAAGCTCCGAGCATCTGCTCTCGAGACCGGCAACGCAGGGTTTGCTTTGAGGCCGTTAGCGGGTGCTGGAGTCGGGTAATGAGAAATGGCAAGCCTAAAGACTGAAACCCAGAAGCTTGATATGCGGCTGGATGTCGGTGGACCTTGGCTGCCGCAGCCTTGTGACGGTTAGGTCCAACAGATATCTGCGTCCCACAGTGATTCAAACCGTTTCGCAGGTACCGGATGAAGGACTCAGGATCATGCTGCAATGCTCCAGGTTTCCCCAGCACAGATGGTTCACCAACGAAGCAGTTGAAAACCGCTGAAAGTAAATCGACGATCTTGAAGTGGACATGAGTCGGATGGCCATGGGCTGCTGTGATGACAGAGGTAGCCAGCTGCTTGCCTGAAGCTACATGTTCTCCATATTTTTGGAGTCCACATTTGGCAGTCCAGACTTGGGAGACGGCTTGGGGTCAAGCTGGTCTGACTCGTAATGTCCTCTGAAAAAGTTTGGTTTGGCATGAGCAGATTTGATCAACTTTGGGCGGCACCCGAGGCGGTCACATCATCCGCGCCCAACAGAGCGGAGAGACGCAGGGCCTTTGGTTATCCAAGGCTTGGTCAGGGTCTCCAAATCGAGTGCTTTACGCTACTTGCAGATTCCTAGAGTCCTCTTTCCAAGCAAGTAGCACCAGATGAAAGCCTTAAGTGCTTCAAGTGCTGCAAGCTTCTGAACAGGGGAAAACGGGGGCAACTGTGGATATTTGGGGAAGCACTGCGGCCGCGTGCAACTTCACATTGACACATTGACAGACTTCTTGCCAGCAAGGCCCGATTGGTTCGGGAAGTCTCCGTGAGTGCCTTGAGAGAGTGGCTGGCCTCTCCTGGCAGCGATGTGGATTCTTGGCTCTTTGTGTCAAAGACTACGGCCCCAAGAGTCTCAGAGTAACCCCAGACCCTCCCAGACTGGCCCGGAGCCCAGGAGAAGGCGCTGCGGAAAGCTATGCGCAGTCGGCACGCGGAGCTTTGTCAATCCACTCGGGCAGCCGTTGCCCGCCGCGTTCCTCAGTCTCAGCAGACCACTAATGTATCAAGCCGCCGACACTGCAGGAGAGAAGGGTGTAGGATTTAAGGTTTAGCGGCCAACCCCAGTGAGATAAAGCGGGACATCCGTCCGAACTCGAGTAAACTATATTATAAACCCTAGGGCACTGGGAGTCTGATTTTGGGGTTAGGGTTTAGGGTTTAGGGTTTAGGGTTCGAGTTCAGGGTTTTGGGTTGAGTGTTTAGGTTTTTTAGGTTTTAGGGTTTGGGGGTGAAGGGTTTACTGTAGGCGGAAGCGTCCGGGAGCTTTGCAGAAGGTTGGGGGGAGGGTAGGTCCGGGAACTTGGGGGTATCTGGAAGGGAAAAAAGGGAGGTTTCACCTCCGAAACCCATCCAACACGCCGTCAGGGTGAGCGGACTCAGCGGCTCACTGCAGCATTCCCTTTGGTTGAGAGCATGGGTAAAATAGCTCAATAGTTCGTCACACCCGGCTAGCACCATCTCCCAAAAGCAGCAATCAGAGAAGGCAGGAGAGAAGGTAGAGTACGTGCATGGCCCAAGAGTCTTCGGAAGTTTTCCCATGATGTTTGGCATGTGCTCTGGCGAAGCTCTCCTTTCCCAGGTTCTGGGCGTGGCTGTGGCTTGGGGTCGTCTCTGGCATCTTTTAGAGGAAGCCGCGCCCGGTCACGGTGGCGATGCGGAGTTACTGCTCGAGCTTTTCGTCACACGCGAGCTGCCTCGAACACCGGATGCCTGGAGTGAACCGGGAGATACTGGAAGTCTATGAGTCTATACATAGCTTATTCGGGGGCCCGAAAACAAATTTAAAGGACAGAGAGCACCCTTCCCTGGCCGTGGCCGGAGCCCAGCACGAAGAGCTCCAGCAAGTGCTGGCCAGCGCATGCAACAGACCGCTGCTCCTTGTCGGCTATTGCAGAGATTTGAAGAGGTTGTTGATTCTTCTCGGCAATGGTGGTCGCAGTTTCTTGATTTAGAGGGGGGCGGCGGCGTTTGGTGGCGTTGGCGCTGGCGCGGCTCTGACAGTAAGAGCTTGAACTGTTATCCCGTGAAACATGGAAAGCAGAAGCTCTGCATGAGGTTTGATCCGGATGATGCTGTTACGCTGGCCAAGCGCCTCTCCGTTGCTTGGTCCTTGCCCCTGTGCCTGGGCTGGAGCGGCTCGCGGCTCGCGGCTAGCGGCTAGAGGCTATAGAGGCTAATGCTTGTTGGACGTTCTAGGACTCGATGCTTCAAGCTTCGGGGGCAGCAAGTAGAGTGCTTGGACACCTGGGCTAGGGAATAATTTCACTGAATACACCCCACTTGCGAGGTGGATGGCAGAGCGTTGGCTGAATGATCTGGGCCATCTGTCGGCTTTCCAGCTTGGCCGGGCCATGTGCCAGCCTGCCAGGATCACGTGCCTGGGGCATGATCTTGCAAGACTTTCATTTCGCTTGTTCACGGAAGTCTCACAGCTGCCAGTGCGAAGAACCGATGAACCGCTCGTTTATCCGATGCCGGAAGCCCGTGATACTGCAAGCCTAGACCCTCAGCTTCCTAAACCCTGAGCCCCCCCACCCCCCAACCCCCGCTTGCAGCCTTCGCGTCAACACCCTCCGGACAACGCGCCTGCAGCTCATGCGACAACTCTCGGACCATGGAGTTTGCAGCATTCCCACGGCAGAGAGCCCCTTCGGCTTGTGGCTCCCCGAAGCTGGTCCCAATTTGGCTCCGTAGGGCTTAGGGGTCTTCACAGCGGATCTCAACATGCATCTGGGGTTTACAGTTTGAAGTTTAGGGCTGTTAGGCCGTTCGGCCGGGGGATGTCTCTCCCCAGCAGCACAGTCCCTCCACTCTTCCTGTCATTTTGCATCGCAGTCGGGCCTCGCAGGCATGAGCTTTTCATATCTTTTCATCACAGGTCCCACAAGGCCGGCCTGGCGAACTCAGTTCTGCACGGAAACTCTGTTTCTCCTTGTGAAATTCTGAGAAGTCCGAAATGAAGGCGCACAGGAGGTTTTTCGGGGGGTGCGAGGGCATCAAGCACGTGCTTTGTTTGGGAGCCGACCCCGGTTCAAAGGATTGTGATTTTGCAAGTGGCCGTCTCTCCTTCCGTCCTTGTGAAGCTCCCAAAGCACCGGCTGCATGTGGATGGCCTGGATGGCATGGTGGATCTGTTTTTGGACCCCGGCTCACGTCCTAGAATCCTAGAAACCACACTGCACATTGCCTCAGTCCTGGAAAGCAGCAGGAAGGAAACCCGGACGTGCCTCAACTGAGACCTCAAGCTCCAAAAGACACCGAGGCGCTTTAGCCAAGAAAGGAACTCGAGGAACCCTCTCTCTCCGATCCTAACCTCAGAACGGCCGGCCTCCTGGTGGCGGAGTTTGGCAGCTGCCGGGCTACAGCGAGGGCCTTTTCGAAGTGCAGGACGAGGGCTCCCAGATCCTGGCCCTTGCCACGGAGGCCTCTCAGAATAGGAGTCCGGCAGACTGCCGGTTGACGTTTGTTTTTCATGCCTGCCCCCCTTCTGGTCGGGGGCGGTGCCTTGAGTTGCAGGCATTGCCCCGCATGCCAAGGGGATACTGTTGGAGTTTGTGCAGCCAAAAGGGGATTAGCTGAACTTGCTTTTTCCCTTAGTCTTGCTGCCGGTGCGTGTGTGCGTGTTTGGTACGACCACCCCGCACCCCAAGCCCTGTCTCCGAGCCAATGCCCCCAGCTTAGTACCTTTGTGAGGGATCGCAAGGGGAAGAGTTTCTGTTCCTGTGAAGTGGGCTGTCTTGCCTAAGTGCCCAAATCCAACCCAAGCCGCCCGGCTTGGGGGGGCGGGCCCATGGAGGTTCGGGTGGCGTTTTTCCCAGCTCGGATTGAGGGGCTCGGAGCGTCGAACTCTTGCCGGACCTCCCCAATGACGCAAGCGGAGGGGGGAAGAGATGGCGGGAGGGAACGTTTCCGTTGGCCGGAGTGCACCCCAGGCCGTCCACTCACTCACTCACTCACTCACTCACTCACTCACTCAGTTTTTCATGCCTGGCCTGATTTCGCTTCATGTACTTTCACGCTCGAGATCTGCAATTTGCGTAGCAACTTGCTTTCCACACCTAAGCCGTAAGCCATCGTAAGCCCCATGGCCCATTCCTCTCGATGCTTTACGGCAGGCTCGGCCTGGCGAAGCGGTTCTCGACTACTGCGCCGGCCGCGGTGGCAAGACCTGGCTTCTTTGTTCTCTGGTGGCTTTGGCTTCGACAGATGCTGATCCAGAGTTCAACAAAACACGAGACTTGCAAAACCCAACAACCACAAACATGTACTCCTACCCCCGCCCCCCCCCGGCCCCCCCTCGCCGTCAAGCCGAGGTGGCTCCGGATGGCCGTGTTACTGCCTGGGATGCACCTTTGGCTTGAAGATGTTGAAGGGCTGTGAGAAGTGCGAAGGTTTACGTCATCGAGTTTCACGTAGATTTGCGGAGGGTGATGCAGAGAAACCTCGCCCAACTGAGATGGCTTCAGCATAAAAGAAGCATCCTGTTTTCTAGAATCATAGAAAACACAGGCTAAGCATGTTTGCTGAAAGCTTTCCAGAATTGACATGTCCAGAAACGGATTTGGAGAAGGCTTTCATGGGACAAGAAGCCGGTGGTGCCCTTCCCTGAGGTGGATGCGGAGCTTCGCAAGCAGCTGCGAGGGGCCCCCCAGCTTGAAAATACCTTCAAAGCTCGTGTACTTTGAAGGACTTTTCCATTCTCTCGGTCCCTTCAAAGTGCTTGCAGCAGAGCATCACGTAGCATTGCCTCTGATGGGGCACCATGGATTCCGAAAGCCCCACAGCCTCTTCTGATGGAAATCCCACCTCATCTACGAATCATAATGGAGCTGCCTGAACCCAGGATAGACCGGAGTTGTAATAGACGTGGCAGTCTGACTCGTTGTAATCAGTCTGGTCATGTTCCAGCCATTCATTAGGCTCGTAGCTAGATTTAGAAGTTGATTCTGAAGCGTGGTTGGCATTGAGATACAGCTAAAGGTAGGACGGCAGCCGGGTCGTGGTAACACTTGTGAACTCTTCCATGGGCCCAAGCTCCCTCCCTCTTTCTGCTTCGGGCTTGGTGCGAAGTGGGATGCTTGCTGAGTTGTGTGGAAAAGGCATTGTACCGGAGGGTCCACATGTTTTCAAGAAGCTCGCCCTCCTCCCTGGACTCTTTGCCGGCGCTGCGGAGGCGCGAGCCAAGCGCGCATCCGTCACCGATCTCCTAGAGGTGGCAACTGACAAGCCGTCGTCGCAGGCGGACGTGGCATCTAGGCTTTGGAGAGTAGTTTCGCCAATTATTACCATTTTCGAAGATGCACAGGGTTCAGGTGAAACGTGGGAATCTGCAGTGGAATTCGGGATAGTTTGGTTACTCAGGTGCTGGTGGATGCCCCATGCTCTTCCTGCGGCGTTTGGAGGCGCCACCCTTCGCAGCTGGGACAGAGTTGAGTCGTTTGCTTGGTGCAGATTCAAGCTACGTGGAATTAATTGGGTGCTGGTCTTCGGCAGGTTTTGGCCTGTTTCAAAATTCCAACCCCGAAGCGCATGATGAAAGGCAGAGGTGGGCTCTGCAGGAGTCCGAAATCGACCGCATCGCAGTTCAGCAGCTGCAGATTCTGGAGGAAGCCTCGCATCTCGTCCGTGTGGGCGGCCGCCTGGCGTCTGCGCGCTGTTTAGCATACCTGGTCTAGTGGAAGGCTTCGAGGTTGAGGTTTTTCTTTTTTGGTTTGCCCTTTCTCCAAGAGCTCCCAGACAGGATGTTGTGTTTCGCGGGTTTGGGTGCTCAAGCTGCCGCCAAAAACCAGCGGAGTTTTTGCAAGTCACGAGCAGGTGTACGCCACCTGCTCCTTGCTCCGTGCGGAGAACGACGCCGTTGCCGAGCGCTTCGAAGAAGTGGTGGGAGATTGCTTTGGGCGCTGGCCTTTCCGGAATGGCAGGCAGGACATGCTGCATGGGATGATGATCTGTGACCATCTGTGATGTTGTTGGAGTTTCAGATAGGTTGGTTCGCAAGCACTCAGGACAGGGGTTGGGTTCTCGTCCCTGACTGTGCTCACACCCCGGACCTGTACCAGGCACTGCCGGACATTGATGCCGCACGTGGAGGGAACTGATGGCTTCTTCATGGCTCGCTGGCAGCGGCAAAAGAGTCGATCACCAGCCAACTCTCAACCCTCACCCCCCACCCCTAGATTTTAAACATTTTCTATGGCCTTGATTTGCCAGCTACATGTTTTTGAACTCGCGAAGTTTTAACATCATTTGGGTTAATCTCTCGCGCGTGAGGAAACGAGAGCAGATTAGGTTTCCAAGGAGGATTTTTCGGTTTTATCAAAACCTGGTTTGTTTTAAAACCCAGCTGTTCAAATATTCGCCGGCCTCAGGGTGAAACGCAGATCCATGTTCCAAACCCTCTTTAACCTGCTTTTGCCCGAAGTTTGGGGTTCCAGGTGCAATGGCAAGTCAAAAGAGCCGCAACGTGCCAGGGTGTAGCGGTTTGCACTTCATTGGGCCAGTCGCTTGATCGATTCTTCACGATGCCAGGAGGTCTTGTTTTGCAGATAGATATGGGGCTGGCAGAGGCATTGCATAGGCTGATCACGGTACGTAGATGCTTTTGTCACAGCTCTTTGCGGTGTAGCCTTGTCAATTTTACAATTCTACAATGATGCCAACAAGCACACATGAGCTAAGCGGAGCGCTTGGTGCAGGTCATCTGGAGCAAGCAGGCAGAGTCGGCTTTGCTCCCGAGTACGATCAGTGTGCATTGCGTCGGAGCTGAGAGCACCCAGCGTGCTTTCAAGATTCCCGAGCACAGCCGAGGAGCTGAATGTAGGAACCATTGTTCAAGAGTTGTATAGACCTAGGTTTTGCCTCATCCAACCCTGATAACTTCAGTCAACTTGCGTTTCGGCTTCAGGTTTTATCTCTAAGCGTCTATAATGTTATCGGTTATATCGGTTGTAGTGGTCAGTGGCACTCAGGGGTTCAGGGTTCAACGTTGAACATGCTCTGCCACAAGCCCAAGGACTCTGAGACCAGCAAGGAATCTAAGCGATCCCAGCTGCATCTTTCCTGGGACATAGCCAGCCTAGCCTTTCACACGGAAGCTTGCGTATTGCACCGATGCCCCTTTGCTGAATTCGTTCCAGCCGGATGAGAGCTTGTAGGGGGCGCGAGCCCACAATGGGAGATGTATAGACCTGATTCGTGCTGACGCAAGTGCCGCAGCAAGCAAAAGGCCGAACGCATGCAGCTCACAGGGTGCCGGCATCAACAAGTCGTTATGCTAGACAGTCTAGAAACTGTTCAGCAGTGCCCCCGCCCCATTGCAGCTATAAATTCAAGGTCGCAGGCTTAAGCAGCCACCCTCGTTCCAACCAGCTGGCCACCAAGTTGTGGTGTTCCGTTTGGAATCCGGCTTGGCTGCTGGCTCAAAGAACTCAGTTATAGCGGGTTAACTCTGAGAGTGGCCAGCTGAGCCCTCAGAGGACACCGGCTCTCAAACTTGCCCGTAGCTGAGAGATCTTTAATCAATGCACTGAACACAGTTCTGGGCTTGAAGCAGAGCTTTGGGATGTTCTGGGGCAAGCAGAGCTTTGTGCAGGAACATGGCGGATCTGGACGAGTTCGACGAAGCAGAACGCGCCTTCGAGAGCCAGTGCGACGCTCGCAGCACGACAACCAATGGAAAAAGTTTAGGTCCCTGCTGCCTGAAAACTGCTGCTGCATGGACTGTTCAACCATTGCCTTGCCTACTGGAGCCAGCGAGGGTCACTTCCCAGCTCATCTCGCACCCACATGACCGCCACCCCACGCATTTGTCCCCATTTCTAAACCCAAATCATAGCAGCAACACAAATCCTTAACCTTCTCCTTGCTACAACCGTTGGGAAGTGATAAAACCCCCCAACTTTCACCCAAAACTTTTACCACAAGCCCTAAACCAAATCCACCTGAACAACCCTTAACCTTATCCATTCTATAAGCCAAATCAGCAATACCCAAATCCTTAACCTTAAAAAATATCCTAACCTGAAGTATTATGCGAAAATGTCATCTATGTTACTGAGATACTTTTTGTCGTTTCGTGTTGAGTTTTGTTTCCTGTATTCCGCTTTTCATAAATAAGGAAATCTGGCATCCGTATACCTCTCAGATGAATAGCCATCTCCCTCATGTATCTTTGTGTCTTTGTAATTATGTTTCAATCCAAGATAAAGTCTTGATTGAATACAACTTATACTCATGCTTTTTATGTTCTTGATTGCTTGCGCTGTAGTCCAGAATTTGTTTACCGACATTTACCACGTGACCTAATGGTTTAGCAAGATTATCACTAAACATTGTTTTTGATCATTCTATATCATTTTTTGTTCTGTTTCGTTGTTTGGTGTAAAGGTTTCTCTCTTGTGTCGCCATCTCCACACAAAGTATCATGGCAGCCGTTATAGGTGCCATGCTTGAGACTTTGAACTGCAATTACGCATGCAAGGCAACGCAATGAAATGTAATGGACTGTAGCAAAACGCACTGCAATATATTTACTTGTACCAGTAGTTGACCGGCGCACGAGGATGAAGGCATGCGAGGCAAACAAGGAAATGGCAGTCTCCCAATCCACCCAACTTGACCGAATCGAGTGAAGCGTCAGCTGCATCATGTCGGGAGGTACGAAAAGGTCGAGCCCTCCCTGTTGGGCGAAGGAACCTACGGAAAGGCAGCACTTGGGTCTGCGAAGTTTCTATACTTGGACCATTGGAGCTTTTTTTTGGCTTTGCACCGCACCCTTACCCCGTGGGAGCAGGGCAAAGCATTGGCGTAGGCTCACAAGCCAGAAGTGGCTCCATACGGCTCCATGCAGGATGTAGACAACAGTCTAACGCGTGGACGCAATTGCCCCCTGACCCAAGAGCCCATCTGGGGGACACTTCTGCACCCACACAGCACGGCAGGTCTATAAAGCTCGGTCAATTCGCACCGGTGAGCTGGTGGCCATGAAGCAAATGAAGATCGAGAGCGCGGACAGATGTTGGGGGTTTTCACAGAGTCTCGATCCAAAGGGCTGTTGAGTAGATGCCTGGGCGCCCAACTCCTGCAGCAGCAAACCCGAATGCCAAAAGGTCAGGGCGATTTCGCTGCCAGTTCGCGCATATGACCAGACAAGCCTTCACACATTCACACTCTTAAATCCCCCTTGCAAGTACTTTCCGCTTCCCAAGCCTCGGAGTGCTTAGACTCCGGAAAACTCAGAACCCCAATCTCCAGAAGCCACGAATACCCTGTTAGCGCCGTTTTGAAGCCAATGCTCAAAGGAGGATGGGATGCCAAGCACCGCCCTGAGGGAGATTGCTCTTCTGAAGGCGCCTTCGCCTCGCCCATGTTCCATCGAGTCTTCATGCTGTCCTGATTTGTGCAGTTTTCATGTGGCATCTTCACAATACGTGCCTTACGAGGGCTTGGGATTCGATCTTCCAGAGCGCGGTTCATATTACTGCAGGCCTTGCCAGAGCGGGATTTTGCGCGACTTCCGAACGCCAGAATCGAAAATTGTAGTCGCAGACGTCGTTCAATAACAAGTCAAGGCCAGTGAAACAATGGTAGGGTCTTTCTCGTTGCATGAAATATACTATGCACATACGGATGATGCCTGAAAACTCGACTATTGTAGCTCGCAGGAGCTGCGAGAGCACGAGAACATCGTGCGGCTCATCAACATCTTCTACAAGCCAAACAAGTGTCCTGATGGCAGCCAGGGAACGTATTCTTGTTCTGGGACTTGCCAATTCAAAACTTGTTGATCTTCTTGCATCTTGGAACCGTGAGGTTGGTCCTCGTCTTTGAATACGTGGAGAACGACCTCAAGAAGTGCTCGTTGATTTGGTAAGATTCTGGTGGAGATACTTCCGATCTCGTACGTAGACATGTTGAAGCCATTCGCCCTCAGCCGATGCCGCACTTCGTCGTCATTGTCTCACCTGGGCATGGACATTCGACGAGCCTGTGGCGAGTCAGAACCGTAGCCGCGTGATGCTTGCCAATGGATTGAGTACGTAGTGCAGGTTTTTGGGATTGTGCCGGGACTGTCATGCAATCACACTCGGCCGCACTCAGTCCAAAGAAAATGAGATGCGAAATCAACAAGATTTAGGGTTCAGCGGGGCGCCCTTGCCTTGCATGCGCGGTCCATGCTGCCGCGGGCTTCCTCGCCATGCTGGGCGCCTTGCTGTCGTTGGAGCCTGGCGATTTGGACTTCTTGAGCCTTGGGCATAATGGCTCGGTGCGCCAAGATGTTGCCCCAATGAGTATCGTTTCGTTGATCCTTCGATGCTGGACTAAGGAAAGGATTGCCTCCTGCCACCGAGGGCGGGGCATTGAATGTGAGGATTGTTTCGAGCAAACGGCCCTGGGAAGCAGCCTTGGAGCCTTGGTTTCGAGGCATGCTGCATGACTCGGATCTTATGCCTTATGCTTTAAAAGCTCTTCTTTTTCTCAGAAGTGCTTTGTAAATATCCTGACGAGTTGTTCGGAACCAGTCAGGAGATGGCAGGGCTCGCAGGGCTTCCAGCCTTCCTCCCGCCGCCGGCGCCATCAGCTGAAGAGAGGCAGGCAGAGGACTTGGGCTCCGCTGGGTCTGGAGTCTACGAGTCTAAGAGTCTAAGAGTCTAAGAGTCTAAGAGTCTAGGCGCTTTAGGGGGCTTGATGCCCCTTGCGCTGGACCCAGAGCTACGCTGCAAAGGAGTCCATGAGGTCGAGGAGCCCCAAGTCTGCCCCTTCTGCGCGCAGAGAGATGGAGGGTGGAAGCAAAGCAGGCCCAGTGATTTGCCGCCAGGCTCCTTCAGCAGAGAGTTTGCTAAATGGCTCTTCTCCGCTCCCAAACCCCAAGCAACCTCAAGCAAGCCATGAAGCAACCCCTACAGCAGAATGGAACCAGGCCTCGAGCCCGAGCTGGTTGAGGAGACGCAGCCCGAGCCCGCTGCGCCTTCGTTGCCCGCGGGAGACAACCTGCTATCGTTGGGGCACCAGGTCCCCAACAATGGCCAGGGCTAAGGGTGCTGGAAGACGGAGAGAGACAGAGAGCGAGAGAGATATAAAAAAACAGTAAATAAATAAGTAAGTAAGTAAATAAATCAATATAAATAAATAAAAATATATATCTACAGGCCTTGCGGCACGGGCCGGCCTGGCCGTCTGAAAGCTGAAACTCGGGTTTGCGTTTAGGGGTTTAGGGGGCGCAGGGAGTCGGGACGTAATCAAGAAGAAAGGGAAAAAGAAAAAAGAAGAAGAAGAAGAAGAACACACGAAGAAAAAAAGAAGAAAAGAAAGAAGGAGGAAGAATAAAAAGAAGAAGAAGAAGAAAAGAAAGAATAATAAAAACAATAAGAACAAGAGAAAGAAGAAGAAAAAGAAGAAGAATAAGAGAAAGAAGAAGAAACAGAAGAAGAAGAAGAAGAAAAAAAAGAAGAAAAGAAAGAATAATAAACAGAAGAAGAAGAAAAGAAAGACAGAACAATAACAAGAAGAAAGGGTAAAGGAAGAAAAGAATAATAATAGAAAGAAGAAGAAGAAAAGAAAGACAGAAGAATAACAAGAAGAAATGGTAAAGGAAGAAAAGAATAATAATAGAAAGAAGAAGAAGAAAAGAACAAGAAACAGAAGAAGAAGAAGAAGAAGAAACAACAGAAGAAGAAACACAAGAAGAAGAAAATAAAGAAGAATGAAAAGAAGAAGAAAAGAAATAATAAAAGGAAGAATAAGCAGAAGAAGAAGACAAGAAAGAAGAATAACAAGAAGAAGAATGAAAGAAAAGAAAGAAGAAAATAACAAGAAGAAAGGGAAAAGGAAGAACATATGAATAATAAGAGAAAGAAGAAGAGCAAAAAGAAGGAAAAAAAAGAAAAAGACAAGGAATTAAAAGAAACAGAATTAGACAAAAACAATGAACAGGAAGCAGAAGAGAAGAAAGAACAGGAAGCGACAGCCGAAACCCTATGTATAATCCTCTGCGTGCGCGTGCGCGTGCACGAGCATGTGCGCGTGCGCGTGCGCGGGCGCGCGAGCGCAACAGCATTATTGGCATCAGCGGCTTGGGCTGGCGCAACGCGGGGTGTGGCATGTGCAACGTAGGAACTGTCCAAGCAGGGGTCTCAAGGGACAGGCGGGCGGCGGGATCCAAGCGCCCAGGAGGTCGTGTTTTTTTGGCGGCTTGGGCAGGTCCCACACGGGGGGGGGGAGGGGGGGGTGGCGCGGGGTTGGGAAGGGAGGAAGGGGATGCTCGGCTGGAAGCCGAGGCGAATATGACATGATTGATCTTAGGACCCCAGACCAACCCCATCTTCATCAGCAGCGTCACGTGTAACAGGTGGTGGAAATCGTGGAAGACGGCGATGCTGAGCTTGAGCTTGATGGGCCAACAAGAAAGTTGGATAATCAGGCCCGACCCCTTCAAGCTTGAAGCAAACTAGTGCTCAGAAGTTTGCCGGATCACGAGGTCCCGGCAGTGCCTCGAGTCCGTGCCTCTGGCGCATTCGGCACACAAGCCCGAGCAGCCTTTCGGCCGCCCCAAACGGCCCAAGCCGCACCGAGAGCACCGCCTCAGGACAGTCAACTGGAGAATATGTGGAGGGTACGATGTAGGTGCCCCTTGACATTGTCGCTGCCGTTGCTGCTATTGTTATCGGCCAGAAGCATCGTGCGCTGTTTTTACAGCAAGACCACCACAGCGAGACTAAAAAACCATCTATGGTTTGTTTGTGTTGGAGCACAGGAGGTCTTCGCAGTCCACGTTGCCTCGGCTGATCCGATGCGCCCACCTGCGGCGGAGCCTGCCCTGCTGCTAGACGCCCCACTTTTGGGTCCTCAGGCCCCGGCAAAAAAATATAGCTTGTGAAGAAGTTGGCTGTTCATGTGTTCGGAAACAGTGATGACCTTGGACCTGCATTGGATATGCTTGGACCTCAACAGACTTGTGCCTCCAGTATTCGGAATCTGCAAACATGAGACAAAGAACACGTCTTGGTGACATGTAGCGTCAGCTCCACTCGAGGGAGGTAGTTGCAGGCACGCTCGGCATTTCGGCCGCCACGCGCCCTGGAAGATGCGGGTTTGGAGGCCTTTTGTGAGAGAAGAGTCCTACCATCTAGGGCCGCAGCTTTTTTGGCAGGAGGTCTGATAGAGGGTGCTGTTGTTCGGGGTTCCCAAGACATCTGGAAGTATGAAAAGTGTGTGTCGTTGTTGAGTCTTTGGAATCCATCCTTGGGCTTGTCGAGCTGGTGCAAGTCCGGATGCGGCTAGAAGGTCCTTGGTCCTTCAAACTGAAGCTGTCCTCAACCTCACAATCCCACAACTTTCAAGAGGTCCAGGGAGCTCCGGCACACTGCGAGGAAGGTGGCTTGACTTTGCTTGGCCCGGGAGCACGGACACAGTTCAAGATACTTGTCTGATTCAGCATGGAAAGTACCTCTCATTTCGGGAACTCGACGTGCAGCTAATGGCATTGAGCTTTGCATTGTCGTTTCGTTCGAAACGGCCAGCCTAGAAGGATGTCCTACATCCATAACACGCCGAATGATTCTTGAAGTAGCCCCCTGGCCGGGGATCTTTGCAGCTGAAGATGAGTATTCGTAGAATTTTCCGGCAGCCCGACAAACGAATCCTGCGAAGCCTTATCGGGACAGTAGCCGTGATACATGTGGTTGCCAAGTTGTCGCGTGAAGTTTGACATGAGTGTAGAAACGCGCGTGGAGGGCTCTGCTCTACACCATGCTGCTACTTGGCACGGTGTGGCTTGGAACTCCCAACCCCATGAGTGACAGCAACGCAGCCTAGGAAGCCCAGATCAATGGCCGTTCCGACACCTGCACGAGCTGGGGTCGGCCAGCTGGAGCTGTACTGAGAGGTTTCTTCGATTGGGTTCTTTGGGTTCTATGATGTTCTATGAGTACACGACTTGTGAAGATTGGTATTTGTACCAGAATAGGCCAGATGATTCCGACTAGCGGATGTTTGGGGTTCAGGGCTGAAGCACTGCAGGGAGCTCGGAGGGGAAGTTGCGCAGTGCACCAAAAACAGTGCGAGCAGCCGGACTTCAAATGATGTCAAGGGGCAACAGGAAAACTGCGACGTTTCGGAGTGCAAGCTTGGGAACTTCAAGAGGAAGATGCTGTGGCTCTTTTGGGGTGTCAGCGCTGTTGCTCATGGCAGGCTTAGTGAACGGCTCCACGCCCCCAGGTTGGGGAGAAAAAATGCGGCCTGTTACCTCTAAATGATCGGTGTTTATGCAGTCTGTGACCGTCTGTGAGGCATCTTCAACGGACCCTTAAAGGAGCAACCCTCAGCTCCGAACACCTGAAAATGGCTGCAGCCCTGAGAAGAACTCCAGGTACATGCGTGCCTCGGAGGGCGCCCTCACACCAGCAACGGTAAAGAAGTTTGCGCTTTCGGCCCAGCTGGTCATTTTCCAGGTGTTTAGAGGATGCTTGGGGTTGTCCCACCCCAGAACTCTGCGAGCAACGCCACAGAGCCTTTCTGAGAAGCAATCTGCTCATGCGAAATTGGAATTGTCAACTTGGTACTGAGGTGGCAACTCCTGCGTGGAGTAGAATTCTGCCATGCGAGTAGAATTCTGCATCGTGACCTCAAGCCCCAGGCACGGGACCGCAACGCTTCCATTGTTCAAGGGCTGACTTTTGGACCACAAGGCTAGACGTGTACGTTGAAGGATGCTCAAGGATCCTCACTCCTCCACATCACGGGGTTCTGAACGCAAGTGCTTCCCGCGAACGCAGAATCTCTTGATCGATCAGCGACTACGCTTGAAGATCGCAGACTTCGGCCTAGCCAGGAGCTGAGAATCGATTTTGGCACTCGAAACGCTTGCCCACGTCCCTGTAATTTCACCCCTTACGTTGAGCTTTTGTTTTGCCGGGTTGCCCTGGTTGTCTCCTTGAGGCGCGACCGTTCCACGTGCCTCTTGGCGAGTGCCCTGTGGTTTGGACTCCTTGACCCTTTGCAGCCTCTGGGTTCTTGGGGCAGAGGCGCTGGGGACGTGTAGTTTACTTGGCTTCTAGACTTCCTTACTTAGTCCACAGCAGCCCAATAAATCAGAGGCTGCCGTAAGCAGACAATCCTTCTTCGCAAGCGTGCTGGAGTGAGGCTTTGTGTGTGTGTGTGGGCGCGTGTCTGTGTAAGACCGCATGCGCGTGTGCATCTGCATTCTTTATCCTTGTTACGAAAGCAATGCCGTTACTGCGGCACTTCTTGCAGACCCAAGAAGTCAACAAGTGTGATCCGCAAAAGCTGGCCATTAACTGCCTCTTCACGACTCCGCACTTTGGCTCATGCCGGTCGGTGGAGTTGTGCATGGAGCCATCCACATTCAGAGCAACATGTGCGAGGTCGCGTGTAGACGAAAGGATGTCGCAGTCGAAGTCAAGTCAGTGCCGGACCGTATGTATCGCAAGTGGTTCAGGGCACATCGATATCCTGTTTGAGCTTGTGTAGGCTTGTGAGTTGCCACGGGGGGCGACTTCGAGTTTGAGTTGTCAAGCTGTAGTCGCCGTAGCCACGTAGGCGTAGGGGAAAATATTTCATCGCGGCGCAGAAGATGCGGCGAAAGGGCAACCGCTATAACAGCGGGCGCAGCTGCGAGAATGGCAAAGGCACGTGGTCGTGTCTTTGCTTTTTTCCAGGTGCTGCTCGACGACACTTGCACTGAGCCAACAACGCAACTAGAGGTAAGACCCCAACCTGTCCTTCTTGGATTCCTAGGGACGCCATGTCGCATCACTGAGAACTACCCGAACCACGGGTTTCGGAGTAGCTTCCTGGATGCAGCTTCTCCTGTGTACTCGTACTGTGGACCCAAGTTCGTTAAAGCTTCAAAAGTGACTGAGCACCGCATTCCTGCGAGCCACATTGCGTGATAATCGTCGACGTGCCGCATTTTGAGAGCTTGTAGCCCTAACCTTGTAGGCTCGTACTATGTCATACGCGGACTCTGCACACCCTGCCCCTCAACCCTGAGGCAACCGCCAAGTGTAACCCAGTCCCCATGCCTCAGAGCATCAGGGCGTGTGTGGGCCCAAGTGGGGCATGGTCCGCACGAGGCTGGGCGCGTGCCGCTTGTTGCTTGTGGCCTTCAGTCTTGTTCAAAATCTCGTGGTTAGGACTTGAGTCACTTGGATTTGACATGACTTGGGCACGATTCTGCTGCTGGGGTCTGCTTTGAGGAACCCTACTGGGCGCTACCAAGACTGTATTTCGAGCCTGTCAGACTCGCACAACTCTAGCTGATCGAGGATTTTGGCAGGACTCAGGACCTATCTGGGCACACGTAACTCCGTACACAGATGTACGGAGGCCTGTGAACACCTGGCAGGGCAGCGAGGAGCCAGCGACGGCTCCGCCCCCTTCAACTCTCCAGGCACGGGGAGCAGCTCAGGCTTTGGGCATTGCTGAAAGTGGCCTCGAGTGCCAAAGGGCTCGTTTCAAAACTAGGTTTGAGCGGGGCACAAAAGACTCATGTGCGAAATCTGGAAGCCGAGATCGACTTTCGTGAGACATTGTGGCAGAGGCGGCGCCATCCGCTCTCCTTGCAGCAAAGGCAGTTCGCTTGGGGAAGGCCCTAAGCGGGCAACTCACTTCGTAGTGTTTGGACTCGCTTGTCGCGTGCAGCAGAGTGTGGAAGCTGACAAGCCTCAACCGCCTCAACCCACAAAGGAAGGGAGAATGAAAACTAGTGGAAACCCCTTACAAGAAACCAGAGTCCCGGCAGCTGCTGGAGCGCTGTAGCTTTTGAGATCCTTTCCTTGCCGTTTGCGTGCACCAGTAAGGCCCGCCTTGATTTGTAAGCTTCTTGCGTTGCTGCTCACATTTTGCTCTGCACAAAGGTTGGAACATGTCGAGGAATGATTGGATGCACTGGCTGGAAGGGTGGGGGGGGGGGGGCGGTTAAGCCGAGAACTCCCGCGCAATGGCAGGATCGCGAGCCAGGAAAAGCAACTCTTACAGAGTGGTACAACCGGCCCGACCACGAGATCAGCTACTTCATCGGCCTCTCGGAACGCATTCCTCGAGCACACTGAGAGCATTGCGGCTCGTGACCTTTGAACGTCCTTGTATCATGGAATTTGTGAAGCTCCGGCGCGGCTCAGCATGAGGCGTTTCCAGGCTTACGATCAAAAGCGCGTATTCTTCGTTAGCCCTGCTCAGTGAAACTTGTTGTACCCGAGATCTGAACCATCAGCGCAGCAGCATGTTCCCAAACCCCCACCTCACAGGAGGAGTCATGCATGAGTCCCATAGAGGCCCCGTCTCCAAGGAGCCCTCAACTCAGGTGACGGTGATGCTGACAGCGAGGTGTGGATTCGATTCGAGGGTACAGGGAAGGGGGGTGGAGGGGGGGGGGGGGGCGATGCTGACAACAGGTGCCCCGCAACCATTTGCACGTTGTCTACAGGGTTTAGAAGCCGTTTAGAGCTTGCAAGTTGGGGCCGTTTTCACCACGCCATAGGAGGCTGAGCGGCGGACTACTGTTGACCTGAGTGTGGCGGTGCGAGGCCGTGGTGTCACTTTCTGTTGAGGCTTGTGAGGTTTGAGTACGCTAGGACTGTCAGGGCTGCGGGGGAGCGTAGGTTGTTTAGGGGTTGGTAGATGTGGTTGGTGCTTTTGAGACGGCCCCAGAATGTAAGACTGTTCTTGGGTCCAAGGTTGGTACGCAGTGGGATGCGCATCTGAAGTTGCCTTTCTGAGACAGTGCAACAGCTTCCCTAACTGAAGGCATCTCAAAGGCAGCATCGAATCCACAGTAACTGCAATCGCTGAGCTTTAGAAATTTAGAGCAGACAACAAAGCCTTGCCGACGTCTCTTGGACCTGAGATATCTTGGCATGATGACAGGTGCATTGTACATGCGTTGATGTTGTCGTTGCAGGACTGTGCTCGGAGTACTTTGAGTGCCACGTCTCGCCACTTCTGCGCTCGTTGCAGAACACCACCGAGCAACACCAGCTCAGGTTGCAGGCAGTCCTCCAGTGAGGGAGTCATGGAGTCATGGAGGGATGGAGGAAGGGAGGGAGGGAGGGACGGACGGAGAGAACCATGGGGATCCACCCTAGGCCCTGCGACAGAAAGAACAAGGTTATGTCTCTTCTGTACCATCGAGGAAGCGCATGTTCACTCATGCGGGGGGCTTGGGCGTGTTAGGGCTTGGCCAAGTCGGGGCGGCGCCTAAGAACCAGCAGTGTGCCACCTAAGGTGCACGCAAAATGGTCTAGTTGGAGTGAGCCTACAGCTTCGTCCACGGTTTCTGCATCTTTGACAAGTTACGGTTGCTGAGGTCATTGATCTGGGTCAAGGGGCAAGTGATCTTGCGATTCGTGTGCTCGCTGTATCGAGCTCGATGTTCCCTGGACGGAAAGCAAGGTGGGGTTAAGTTAGGGAGTGGGAGTGGATGGTCAAAGGTCCGTCCGCAGTGGAACACCGGCACATCAGCTGAGGGGGCCCCTCTTGTGTACAGGTCTCAAGGCCTTCGCGTGGTGTGTGCCCCCCCCCCCCCCCCCCCCCCTCGTCTCTAACACAGATTTCAAGCCGACTGCCGAAATGGGTGCTGGGCGGCCGGCCTGCTCTTAAGGCCTGGGAGAAAGAACAAAGAAGATGGATAAGAACAGAACTAATGACTAGCAAGACCGAGAGGAAGCTGAAGAACCAAAACGAAACAGGTGATGAATCTCTACTGGACCCAAGCCTTGTCCTGTCGACTGGTTTCGACACTTGACAAGTCCACTTTCCGGTAACGTGTACACTGGCAAGAAATTCACTGGAAGGGAATTATCTGGACTTTAACCCGCTTCTGGCATCCTGAAATGCTTTGAGAGCCAAATGCGCACACGTGATGGGCTGTGCGAGGAGCTGCAGGACCTCATCGGGAAGGCTGGATTTTGAATAAGCGCCCTGCTCTTTGAGTGTCATTAGATTCATTTGGTTCGAGACCGCTGTGAGCATGCTGCACATCTTCAGACTTGTAAGAAGAAGCCCCCAGAGCAGATCGTCTGCACGAAGCAAGTTGAAAGCCGCAAGAGACATCAAAATGTAAAGTAAATTGAAAGCACTGTGTTCGGGGAGGACCTCCGCGAGACGGTGGCTGTGGAGGTTGCCCGGCGGAACGAACAGAATGCCGTGAGCACCTTGGTTCGGCTGCAGGAGCAGCGAGCTTTTCTTGGCACACAGCTTTTGTAGAAGTTTTTTGAAGCGCTTTGTCAGCGGCAACATTGCAAATTAGATTGGAAGGAGATCTCGGCATCGCTGCAAAGGAAGGCCGATTCCGGAAGCGTGCCCACGCTGGCACAGTGGAAGGCAGAGACCGGGTTCAGGGTTTTGTGAGCCTTCCGAAAAGAAACTTCAGGATACTTCAGGCTTCAAGTCGAGGAGGGTGGTAGCAGTTGCTGCCTTGGCCGATTCAACCGTCCACCTGCGAGGGCCTGAGCCGGCTGCAGACTCTCCGCACGTCTTTGCCAACCAGCTTGTAAGCATTGTAAGCCCTCAGCTTCTACAAAAGTACCGATGCGGCGCTGCAGGCCCTCAGTTCGAAGATTGACCAGAAGACCTCGGTCGACCAGGCACCCCCCATCACCCCTCCCTCCCCTCTGACGAATGTGTTGCGTCGCAGGTTCAGTCGACTCATCGAAACTGAAAGCGCTTTGAACATGTTTGTGCCTTTGGGAAGGAAGCACGCGATCAGCTACGCGACGCACAGACTAGGCCAGGCACGTCGCAGATGTCTGAAAGGGACGACACTCCGACAATGCGATGATGGACTGCAGGGTGACAGGGTTGAACTTCATGTTGACAACCAGAGTTCCCTAGTTCACTCTTTAGGGTGTTAAGGTTCTTCAAGAAGCTGCACTCAGCTCCGGTTGGCCCAGTTTTCAGCGCAGGCTGACGTCTGAGCTGGCCAAGTCGGATTCCATGCACCAGACTC